GATTTCGGCATGGCACCGATGGAGGTGGACAGTTCAAGCAGCGACAACCTTTTTGGGCAGAGGTGCCCTGGCAGGCAAAACTCAAGACAGCTACACTGCGCCTGAAGGCTGAGCCCGAGGTGGAGACGTACTCCGACGAGGTCACGGAGGATGGACATATCTACCTGGGGGACAGTGCTCTCCTGAGGCAGTTTTTGGCTACACTGGGACCGATGCACATCAAGAGTGGCAGATGCGAGGGCAGCATCTTCGCACATATATATATGTATATATGTGTATATATATATATATAGATTGCAAGGACAAGCGCTACGCCAATTGCTTGGGCTGGTGTCTGAAGCTGGACGCAGACGAGAGCAGGGGCTACAGTCTGGATCCGAGCATCAAGACTTACATCGCCTACAGCATCATCAATGCAGCTAAGTTACGCTGAGATGTCACTACCAACTTTGCCTCGGCGTTGGGTCGTGGAGAGATGGCATTGACATTTCACGACCAACTTTGTGTTTACGTTGGGTGGTGGAAGAGATTGTGTCGACATTGATCTGCCAACTTTGTGTTTACGTTGGGTGGTGGAAGCGGTTGCATGCTATTCACTACCAATTTGTTGTTTTCGTTGGTCGGTTGAGGAGATTGCGTGCGCACCCTCTCTGGTGAAGGGAAGATGGGTGCACGCCCTCATATGACTGGATTATGTTTGTACCAACATTTATTTTGCAATGTGGACATTTGTTGCTGGAGATTCGATTGGGTATCTTGATCTTTGCTGGTCAATATTTGAAATGATATCTTGGTCGATGTCGTTCGGCGTGCGGGCGGCTTTTGGCCGGTCGAGCCGACAGGCACATTCCTGATTATTCTGGATGCTTGTTTCAGAGTTAGCCGCGCAATCTTCGGCGACGGTTTCTTTTTCTTGTGTGAAAATCAGATAGGCGAGGACGTGCTATTCAGGGTGCTAATGAATTCTATACCCCTTCCGGCTATGGTCGTTGTGGCCCATGAGCTGGGCGGGAGGGTGGACGCGCCCGCTCGCGTTTTGCTTTGAACACGGAGATAAATAGATCTTATCTTTCTTATCTCGCGCTTGCACCAAGTGCTTGGCGGGGGGGGGGGGGGGGGTCCGCGTTTGCAAGGCTCGGCGCGCAGGGTGGCCTAGAGACGCAGCAGGCGCCAGCACCAGCGCCATAATCGGAGCCCAACGCCCGAGGCCCAGAGTTGCCAGACAGAAAAATCCCCGCTCCAGGGCGAGACGATCAACCCGCAAGCCAGCGCCCTGGACCAAAATTAGCCTGGCGAGGGGCCCGACCATGCGCAGCTGTTAGTACCGCATCAGTGAATGTCGTTTTCGGTGGAGCTCCTCATGGGGGCGCGAACCGAGTGAGGGGTGTGCCAAAGTGGGATGGCGGCGGCGCGCGGGCGCTGCCGCTGGGGCTTTCGGTGGAGCTCCCTATAGGGCCTTTCGGCGTGTCTCCCTCTGTCCGTGATCTGTTTGATGGGGGGTATCGAGACATGCTAGACCGTCTAACATTGTCCTTCTCCCCTTTTTCTCCCTCTGCGCAGGCGCGCCCCAAAGCCCAAGGCTGCGGGCGCAGCGCAGCGCGGAGCCCCCGCGACGAGCGCTGGTCGCCCCGAAGGGGTCCCAGCGACGCGCGCGGGTCGTCCGCTGCACGGAGCACAGAGAGCTAGCTGGCTGATTGCGGGCGCGGCTTTGGCTCTTCGGCAGAGCGACGACTGGCGAGCGAGGCGCTGGTCAGCGCGCAGCATGGAGTTCCCGCGACGCGCGCGGGTCGCCCCAAGAGTGTCCCAGTGACGCGCGCGGGTCGTCCGCTGCGCGGAGCAAAGAGAGCTAGCTGGCTGATTGCGGGCGCGGCTCTGGTTGCTCGGCAGAGCGACGACTGGCGAGCGAGGCGCTGGTCAGCGCGCAGCATGGAGTTCCCGCGACGCGCGCTGGTCGCCCCAGGAGTGCTCCAGCGACGCGCGCGTGTCGTCCGCGGCGCGGGGCCAAACAGTCAGACCGTCGAGAGAAGGCGATGTTCGGGCGGGCCGCTCCCCCGGTCAGGCCTCGCGGATTTATCCGCGAAGCACGGATCCCTGGCGAGGGCCCTTGCCTCTTTCTGGCACCGCTTCGTGCGCGCCGCAAACTGCTCCAGCTGCTTCCGCAAGCCCTCCGGCGGCCCGCCAGGGAGATCTCGATCCGCGGCGCCCGCGTGAGCAGGAGGTCCTCGTGGCGCGTGGCGCGCGAGAGCAGCGCGTAGAGGCCAGTCGTCGTCCTCCATCTTGCCGTTTCCGACCTCGCGGCGGCCGCTGTCCAGGATCGCGCTTGGGCGACGTCGGCCGAGGGGGCGGCGCGCGGGACAGCGGGCGGCCCGGGGCGAGAGTCGACAGGGCCGAGAGAAGGTCTGGCTGCGGAACACCAGCGGGCCCGCGAGGTCCCCCGTGAGGCTGTCGTCGTGGCGCATCAGGTCGTCCACGAAGGGCGCGCCCGCGCATTTTTCCATGCGCGCCCAGACCCCCCGCGGCAAATGCCTCATGTAGATCCTGTAGGGATATGGGCCCACTAAGCGCGTGAAAGGTTTGCTCCTTATGGGGCCACGAAGCGCTGTAACGAGCGCAGAAACTGGGCGCAGGACTCTCGTGCGAGTTCAACCAATGGGACCTTCGGTGGAGCTTCCTACGAGGCCACGCAGCGTTGCACTGGGCGCAGGAACACCGTGCGAGTTCCGCCGTTGGGACCTTGGGTGGAGTTCCTTATGGAGCCACGAAACACCGCACTGGGCGCAGGAACCGCATGCGAGTTCCGCCACTGGGACCTTCGGTGGAGCTCCCTATGCGGCCACGAAGCGCTGTACTGGGCGCAGGAACCACATGCGAGTTCTGCCACCGGGACCTTCGGTGGAGCTCCCTTTGAGGCCACGAAACACCGCACTGGGCGTAGGAACCGCATGCGAGTTCCACCAGTATGACATTTGGTGGAGCTCCTATGGGGCCACGAAGCAATGCATTGGGCGCAGGAATTGCACGCGAGTTCCGCCACTGGGTTTTTTTTCCATATCGGGCCACGAAACGCTGTACTGAGCGCAGGAGCCGCATGCAAGTTCCGCCACTGGGACCTTCGGTGGGGCTCCCTATGATGGGGGGCCTCGATGCGCTGTTTCGGGAGCAGGAACCGCATTCGAGTTCCGCCTTTGGGACCTTCGGTCGAGCTACCTATGGGGCCACGAAACACCACAATGGGCGCAGGAACCACATGCGAGTTTTGCCATTGGGACCTACTGTGGAACCCCCATGGGGCCACGAAGCGTTGTCGTGGGCCCAGGAGTCGCATGCAAGCTCCGCCACTGGGACCTTCGGTTGAGTTCCCTACGGGGTTCTAAACGCTGTATTGGACGCTAGAAACGCATTCATGTTGGTGATGATGATGATCATCAGCGTCATAATGAGAACGATGATGGTGGGAGGGGGAAGGGAAGAAGGCGAGGAGGAAGGAGGGAGGAGGGACGCGGGGCGCTGTTTTTTTCCACAGGATGGTTGGGAATACGAGAAAATCGGCGTAAACATAAACTGTCGACGGTCTGGGCGGATTTCTTGGATCTGCGTTGGACCCCCTACCTGGCGCACGGAGCGCGCCAGGGGCGGCGCCGGAGGCGCCACCAGGGGGTCCTTAGCGCCGACCCAAGAAATCCGCGCGGATCGTCTAAAGTTCACGTTTATGCCGCTTGTTCCTCTTCTATGAACACATCTACCTCCTCCGTCCTCGTTCCTTCCTTCGCGGCCGATCCCGCCGCTCTCATATCTCCTCGTCGCCACGGACGGATATTCGCCTCGAAGTCTCCTGGCCGCGGCGCGCCCCAGGAGAGAGCCCCGCGGAACAGCGGTCTGGGCATTTTGCCGGCCCTGGTGATCCTGCGGGGAGGCTCGGCACGCATGGCTGCCTGGAGAATGGGGGTATTCGAGTAGAGGAACGACTACAGAGTTCATTTACCCCAGGATCAGTCTTCTCGTCGAATCTGCGAAAACATATTCCGAATTCTCAGGGGGTGTGCGGAAATTCGACGTATTCGCCGTAGATTCGATGGGAAAATCTATTTTCGAGTAGATGAATTCTGTAGTCGATCCCTTCCTTATTCGATGTATGCCGATACCACTGTTCATCCCTCGTCGCCACGGCTGGATTCAGTCATGTATCGGTCGCTGGTCGGGAAGGTCACGCGCTGCGCAGCGGCATTCCCGCAGGAGGGGGATGGTGCAGGGGAGGGGGAGGCGATCACGCGTCTGTGAACTTCTGCCTTGTGAGCGTGCCATGTTGGGCAGGCCGAAAGTAGTCCGTGACGTCATCACACTCACTGTCAGCCGCCCCCGCGTTTTTGACGAAGCTGTGGGCCCCGTGTGGCTGAGGGGGGCTCGACTTGTCGCCCCAAGCACTCTGAGGCCAAGTCCTCGAGCCTTCTGCGGGTTTGAGGTTCGTCATCTCGAGGCTTCTCTGGAGGGGCCACGGTCCTCTGGGCGCCCGCTCCCACGCTGTGGGGAGCTCCTCTGCGGAAGATGCTCGTTTCGGCGCTCCAGCTGGGATCGGACGCCTGAGCACAATGCACGCCAAGCGCGGGAGGCCGTTACTCCAGGAGGTGCCGCCCTGGAGACGTCGTGAGCTGCAGATCTGGGGACACCTCAAGACGACGGCACTGACTCGAAGATCCTGCCCCGAACCTGCGTTGTGCTACGGTCAGGAGCTTTGGTGTAGCGTATCGTTCCGTCGGTTGTGGCCCACCACGCCTCGGCGCGACACGCGAAACGACGCCCCAGTCCCCGAGCATCCACGTCCCGAGCCTTTCTCAGCCTCCCTACCCGCGAGGCAGAGCGACACACCATCCGCTCGCAGGGCACAGCGTGTCGCTGGGGCTGCCGCCGTGACACGCTGAGCAACAGTTCCTGACCGCGCCTCTGGCGGTCCTCGGCCTGTGGTCTGCCGGCGGAGAGGCCGCCGTTCCGTGGCACCCCGGCAGGCGCAGGCGCTCGGCTCCGCGAAGAAGGCCGCCGGCTCCGTCCAGACCCTGGAGGTGCTCGACTCGGCGCACATGCGCTGGGCCGGCCACCGCGCCAGGGAACCGGGGATCCGCAGCAGCCTGGCGGCCACGGCCCACAACGGGACCCGGCACGCGGACCTGCGCGCGCGCCAGGCGCGGAGAGCCAGCGCGGAAGTCGCTCGGGGGGCCCAGGTCGCCGACCACGTTTGTTTTTCTCGCTCCGGGCGTTTTCCCCTCGGTTTCGGCCACGCGGGGCCTGCCATCGGGCCCCAGGACGAGCAAGAACGGATCGGGGGCGAAAAGGTGGCCCCACGGAAGGGGCCGTGATTTCCGTGGCCGCGCATCGACGAATTCACACCGGCGGATGCCAGGGGGTGGGAAGGGTGGTGGTGTCGAGATGTTGTAAAAGGGAGCAATTCGGGTCAGGAAGGGGCTCGATGTTCCCTGGGTCCTTCCATGGCGCCTCCTCCACCTCGCCTCGTGCGCACCTGGGCGCTTCTGGCTGGCCAGAAAGGTGCTTAGCTCCTCCTCGGAGGGAAGACCAGAGGGTGGCTGGCCGCCGTCTTCCTCCGCGGGTCTTCCGTCGGGGATATTCCGTGCACTTCACCGAGGCGCCCCCCCCAACAAACAGAGGGGATAGCAGAACACGGCGAACACGGGGAGGGTCAGACCGGCGAGCTCTTCAGTGAAGAAATCATGTGAACAGCAAGTGCAAACTTCAGTAGTTTCAATTCTCCAGCGGGGCCACTGAGTTCTTGACGCTTCGCGTATCCCAACCAGAGAGTCCTTGTGAGTGAGGCCTCCTCCTGTTCCCCCCTTCTCCTGCCGCCGCTCGCGCCCGCCGCCTTTCCCCGTTCCTTCGCCTCCTCGTCGTGTTGGACGGTGCGGCCTCACTGGCCCCTCCGTGCCGCCACAGCGCGGCGTGACCCACGCCCTTACGCGCTGGTCGGTACGGACTGAGCTGGCGCCACTGTGCGACTTCTCCTCCGTCTGTCACCTTTTGATGCCTGCGTCCCCGCTTCCGGGTCGCCTGCGTTTTAATGGGGGGCATTTTGTCCCTGGCACGTGCGCCCGCTGCGTCGGCCTATGCGCCGTCGCCGCTAATCATCTCGCCCTGTGCCCCAGCCGAGACCGTCCCGCTTCCTGGATCTGTCCTTGTGAGCCGCCAATCAAAAAAGTAGCCCAACCAGCGGCGTTTGGTCCGTAGATACAGAACAGGTCGCGACATCTCCTGGCGTGCAGGATCCAATTCACCCACACGTGTGCAGCAGCTACCCTGGCCGTTTGCAGTCAGCTCAGCCAGCTCAGCCTCAGCCAGCTGCCTCCCCGGCGGTAGGTTATGATTCCTTGCTCGGTCGCTGTGGTTGTTGGCTCGCGCGTAGGTCTTCCCCTCACGCCGTAGGCGGCCTCGCCCGCGCGTGTAAATTAGATCGGCCCGTGGCCCGGACCTTTCAACTCGGCGCCTGCGCTTTCGGTTGCGCCCGCGAGGAAAATATCCCAACCAGCACATCCAGAAACGATGCCATGCGAGTTGCCTTGACAAGGGAGGTCTGGGAGTAAGCAGTGGAACATAGAGAAGGGGAAACCATCAACACGAAGCTAGATATTTGCCCGAGCATATCCAAGAGTCAACCATCAATGCCTTCGTGCATCCTCCGGTCAGGGGGCATATTTGCTGCTTATTTGGAGCATTTCGGGGCCACTTGGGAGGCATAGGTCTCTTGGGGCTCTCTTGGGATCCTCCTGGGGGCCTTCGGCTTCTCCTGACGTGATCCAGTACGCCATCAATCAAACAATGGGGGACCTAGTTCGCGTTGCTCCTTCGGAGCTCGACACATCGCCTCCTAGGGCTCTCTTGGGACGCTTATGGGCGCCCCGGGGGCCGTATCGAGACTCCTCTTGGCTCTTCCTGGGGCTTTCTTGGGAGCTCTGAGGGTCATCCTCAGGCATCCCAAAATCATGGGAACGGACAGAACAATTATTTGAAACAGTTTAGGCTTGTTGGTTAAAAAGGTCTGCGGACTCTTGTAGGCATCGTAAGGTGACTCAATGGCTTGGGGGGGTCTAGAGGCATCTAGGTTGCATGTTCAAACGCACTTGAGCCATCTTAGGATAGCCTGTACCATCTTGGAAGCCATCTTGGACGCCCTGGTGCGTTGCGGGGGCGGTGGGGGCGTCCAGATCCACGGGAGGGAGTATGGGGGAGGGTCAAACTACCCACAAGCCGCAAACCGTCTCGATCACTTTCACCCGACCTCCCAACAGCACCCGAATCTCGGCATGGGCACGGGCCGCCGTCGACAACCATCGGGGACCCTTGGCATCGCTCGGACGTGTGCTCTTTGTCTCCGGCGAGGACCATCGAGGAGCATCCTGGATCATCTGGCAACAAAAAAAAAACACGCGCGAATCCGAACCAGGCATGGGAAAAAAGGATATCGGAAGCAATCGCCCCCGTAAATGACCCACGCCCAGACGATTGTTTGGATTTCGCGTCGGGGCCCCCCGCCCTCGCTCACCATCCATAAGTTGGATGCCCCTTAGGCAAAACCAGCAGACCCCGCCACTGCCATTCGAATTCCAGTGAGGCGCACATCCGACATCGTTGTCAAGCCCAGTCCGACCAGAACCAGCCCGTTCGACGACATACCATAGCCTCGCATCCTCGACGCGCTCGCAGCACACTGTGTGGCTACCCTTTTGGGCGGTTTCGAAAGATCGCCGCACAGAGTGCTGCGCTGACGCGGTCGTGGGTTAACCGCAGGCACAGGGATGATCACACCCCGGCGGCGGAAACTTGTGAACAGCATCGTTACAGCATCAAGAAAGCGTTTACATGAATAGCACATGCGGGGATCCACACAGGATACTGAAAGGGGTGACCAAACGGGATACCTTGCGGGATACCATACTGTACGGGAAACAATGCGGGATGCCATACGGAAGACCACGTGGGAGACCCTGCGGGGGACCATGCGGGAGACCATGCGGGAGAGAATGCGGGGGAACATTCGGGACACCGTACGGGAGACCCTGCGGGAGACCATTCGGGAGACCATGCGGGTGACCGTGCGGGAGACAATGCGGAAGACCACGTGGGAGACCATGCGGGAGACCATGCGGGAGACCATGCGGGAGAGAATGTGGGAGCCCAACTGGAGATCACGCGGGAGACCATGGGGCAGACAATACGGGAGACAATGCGGGAGACCATACGGGAGACCATGTGGGAGACCATGCGGGAGATCATGCGGGAGACCATGCGGGAGACCAAGCGGTAGGCCATACGGGAGATTGGACGTGAGACCATACGGGAGACCATAAAAGAGACCATACGGGGAATCATGCCGGAGACCGCACTGAAGATCACCGGTTCACACCAGCCCTTAGAAGCATTGTCTATAGCGATTTAACAGACAAGCTGTTTAGGGTACGTACAGCAATCCTACCAGACACTACTTGGTGTTGCACCACGCCTCGGAGTGCCAGGGGGCACGGTGGCGGATACCAACAGCAAATTGAGTGGTGTCTGGCCGTGTCCGCGTGATAACTTTGATCTGGAGCGTTTGTGATGGCCCAGCCAGGGTGCTGCTGATCGTCGTGCGCACGTGGGCCATGGTTCTCTAGACGGTGGCAACAACCAGACTGCGCTGCTCCCCGTGACGAGCAGCTCGGACTGCGGGGTTGAATCAGGCACTCTCATCAGGGAGGTCGTAGATGTTGCAGTCCAGGGGCCACTGGGCTAGTTTTACGCGTTTGCGACTAGGGCGGTGAAGGGGTGCGCTGTCGTGTAGCCTGGACATGCAGCCGTTCATGTTTGCTGCAAGGTGACGCGAGGTGGCTGTGCTCCAGGTTGGCCCGCTATTGGGCGTACCAGTCTCGAAATGGTTTCAGAACGTCGCTACCAGGCCCCTTTGAAGCACGAGGAGTGGCAAAGCCAACGGCGGTGTGTTGGCATGCTGGTCTTAGTAGGTCGCCGTCCCCACTGGTCCAGTCGAGATGATGACATCGGTGGATATGTGCAGCTTGCCTCGCAGGATACAACAGCGCATGGGCCACATGTTGACTCGTTAAGGTTTGTGGTTTGTGTGCTTCTAAGACGTTCGTGGGCTTGCCAGATTTAAAAAGGTTGATGGTTGGTATGTGAGTTGCCATTTCTAAGATTTGTTATGGAAAAGTTCTGGGGCTGCCGCGTTCTCGCAGCGCGCAGGACGTTGAGCAGGAATTCCCGCACGAGGCAGACGGTGTGAAGGGCCAGCCGGAGGAGGAGCGGCACAAAGGCCTTGTCCACAGAGGCCATCCTGAGGCTCCTTCAGACAGTCGACCGCACAAGGTGAATCGCAGCGCCTTTGCTTTGGACTTCTTGCACCGCGACTCAAGGTCCAGGGCTTAACATCGGCCGTGAGGAAACCTTACTTCCCCTCCCGTCCCTGCCCCCCCCCTCTCCCCCCCTACTCGAGTGGAGAAAGGGGCGAACTGGGGATGCAGGATGGGGGAAGAGGAGGGTTGGAGGAGGAGGAGGAGGAGGAGGGAAAGGAGGAGGACCAGAGTAAACCCGATATGAGTTCAAGATTGTACAACGCACTTTCCTGTCCCAAGTCCCTTTGTCACTGGGCCCATCAGTGTTTGAAATGCACCGCCCTCCATGCTTCGATCAATAAGGACTGCGACAAGTTGGGCTTCTCAACGTACAGGAGGTGCCCAGCGACAGCCTCGCGTTGAAAAGGAATCGCCCTGCATACGTGTAGCTGTTGGGCGAAGCTTGACTTCCGGCAGTCATATCACACGAGGTCTCGGGCGAGAACCCCGCATTGAAAGGAACCGCCCTCGACCGCCCGTAGAACAATTGCACAAGTTTGCATGTCTGGTATGCCTATCTATGTATGTATGTGTATATATATGTATGTATGTATATATATATATATATGTATGTGTAGCTTTCTCTCTCTCTCTCTCTGTGGAGCCCCCACTGTCGAGACGATCGAAGCAGTCGTGATGGTTCATCACATGTAAAACACCGTTCGTGTGCTCCCGCCGCCGCCCAGGATGGGTGGGCGGATCAAGTTACTGAAATCCGACGAGCGGCATTCGCCCTCGTAGAGCTCACTAAGACGCCCGTGTAGGCCTCTGCGGATTCCGTGTGGACTCCTTCTGAGTACGAACGATATATATATATATACATATGTATACATATAGTTTTTCTCCCCCTCTCTCTATAAATAAATAAATATATATATATATATATGTGTATATATATATGTATATATATATATGTCTATATATATATATATATCGAAAGAGCCCCACGGGCGCCAGAGTTGGCCCCCCTCCCCCATCGCCAAGGGGACCCGTGGGGACGCAGGGGGGCTTCGAATTGGAACGCGCGAATTACACCTAGGCCCAGCGAGGAACAAATCAGCACAACGTTAGCTGAGAGGAGGAGGAGGCGGAGGAGGAGGAGGAGGAGGAGGAGGAGAGACGAGCGGCGCGTGCGGCAGCAGGGGCGGCCAGGCAAGGGAGAGGAAGGGAAGAAAGAAACGGACCAGGGGTGGGGGCGGTCGGCCGGCGGGGATCGTGGTGGTGGTGGTCATGGTCGGAATGGGCGTAGTGGTCGTGGGGGCGGTAGTCGTAGCGGTGGTCGTCGTAGTGGTCGTGGTGGTCGTAGTGGTATTGATGGTCGCGGCGGTCGCAGGAGCTCGTGGTGGTGGGTGAGCGAAGTGGCGGTGGGCTCGGTTGCCGTAGCGGTCGTGGGGCGGCTGCCGTGGTGGCGGTCGGCGGGCGCGCTAGTGGCCGAAGTGCTGGTGGCAGTGGTCGCGCTGGAGCTGGTGGTCGCTACAATGGGCCGCTCACGCTGCACTCAGCAGCATCTCAGCGTTGCCGAACGCGAGGCACCGCTGAATCTTTCTCCACGTGGTAGAGATCAAAGCAGACCGGTCGGCGTCCGGCAGGTCCCGGCCGCAGGAGCGCACGAAAGCGACCAGCTCGTCAGCCGGCTGGCCCCCAGACTCCAAGACGGCTGGGATGAGTTCCCCGCCGGCCGGAGAGTAGCGCGCCCGCTTTTTGTCGACTGCTTCAGCCGCCGCCACCCCGTCCGCGCGGGCCCTGGCCTGCCTGCGAGCGTTGTTGTCGCTGTGTTCGCAGGTAACAGACCAGTCCACGTAGATCAAGGAGTTGGTGGCTGGGTCGCGCGTGGCCGCGTGGAGGGTGGCCTCCTCCCAGGCCCCGGTGTCGGGGTGCTGGCGGTCCCAAGCGGGGACTCGTTGCTCGGTCTCAGCCTTGTGACCCGTCTGAGCATAGTGCCAAGGCGCCCTCCAGTCGTGCAGGGAGTTGTGCCTGTAGTCCCTGCTGCCGCCGCACCCGCACTTCTGGGCGTGCCAGCCTTTGGTGTCCAGCGGCTCCCCGCAGAGCGAGCCGTCCTCCTGTCGGTGCTGGCAGCGCGCGCCCAGGGCGCACGTGTCGCAGCTGAGGCGCATGCGCAGGTTGGCCAGGAAGTGGGCGTCTGGGAGGGGCGCGTCGCCCTCCTCGCGCGGCAGGAGCCAGGCCCCCGCGCCGGGCCCTCCGCCCCCGCGTAGAGCGACCTGGCCGTCCTCGTCCAGCGTCCGGAGGAGCCGTTCTCTCTTGGCGGCGGAGCTCCTCTTGCCCCAGTGCCCCTGCTGCTTGGTCTTGGGCTCGGCCAGGAGAGCTGCCCAGCCCAAGGGCTCGGCCTTCGCCCCCTGCTGGTCGAGGTCCGCTTCGGCGCGGCGCCAAGCGTCTGCCGTCTGAGAGCAGCGGGTCCGAACGGCCTCCGCCGAGGTAGCTCCGAGGCAGGCTGCCACGCCCCGGAAGCAGAAAACCCAGCTTCCGAGGTAAGCTCGGGCGGCAGTCTCCCGGGCTGAGGGGAAGCCGTTGCCGCCGTCTTTGAGGCGGAGGGTGAGCCACTCCTTCTGCTCAATTCTCAAGGGCCCAGTCAGCTCAGCGTAGGCCCCGAAGAGCAAGTCGTCGAGCTCCCCCACCCAGGCGGTCTCGTAGCTCGCGCGCAGCAGGTGGGTGCAGCAGCCCCGGGCGCAAGTGCGGAGTAGCGCGTGTCCCCTTTCCGCCGAGAGCCCGTGGTGGCGCAGCGTTCTCCAGTGGGCCAGGAAGCGGCGCGTCTTTCCCATGCCGCCGGCCCTCTCTTAGAATGGGACTTGCCAGAGCTATGTTGGGATGTCTGGGCGCTGACGCGAAGCACTGTCGGGACTTCACGCGAGGGCCAACATTCATTTACGAGGGTTTATGGATTCGGTGGCGGGAATATTCGGCAACGCGTGATAGTTCATGGCTTCGGGGACGCGAGCGTTGCATATGTTACAAGGGTCTGTGGCCTCGGGGGCCCACATATTGCGTAATTTGTTGAGGTGTATGGCTTCGGGGGCGCAACTATTGCGTAATCCCACCAGCCCTCTGGGCGCAGGTGATCAAAATCCATTTTTCCCTATCGGGGAGGCTTTTTTTCTTTAAGTCTTATGATTCAACACCCCCACATCCCCACGTAGCCCGCCCATAGCAACCCCGCCGTCCTAACGGACCAGAAATCTAGCACAAGCTGATGTTTTTTTCTCGCCAACATGTCGTCGAGTTGCGACAAGTGTAGCAGGAATGGGAAGGAATGAACTTAGCTTGGGTAGCCCAAAGCGGATGGTCACGTCCTACCCATCCCAAAACATATCCTGGCGAATGACCCAACCATATGCAGTTGAGGGTACCGCAATTGTGAAAATCTTCTTCGGTGAATCTCTCTATGGGGCCACGAAGCGCTGCACTGGGTGGGGGGGAACGCTGTTCTGGGTGAGTGGTGTGTCAAGTAAGGCTTCCGGGGCGCATACGGACGGTCCCACTGGGGGCTTCGGTGGAGCTCCCTGTGGGGCCACGAGGCGCTGTACCGGGTAAGTGAAAATGCCAAATTGGGCTTCTGGGACGCACGCGGGCGGTCCCACTGGAGGCTTCCGTGGGACTTCCTGTGGGGCCACGAAACATTGTACTGGGTGGGTGAAAACGCCAAATTGGGTTTCCGGGACGCATGCGGACGGTCCCACTAGGGGGCTTCGGCGGAGCTCCCTAAAGGGCCACGAAACGTTGTGTTGGGTGGGTAAAAATGCCACGTTGGGTTTTCGGGACGCACGCGGACGGTGGCACTGGGGCCTTCGGTGGAGTTCCCTACGGGGCCACGCAATTTTGGATTGGGTGGGTGAAGATGCCACAATGGGTGTTTCGGGGCGCTTGCGGACGATCCCACTGGGGCCTTCGGTGGAGCTCCCTGTGGGGCCACGAAATGCTGCACTGGGTGAGTGAAAATGCAACATTGGGTGCGCGGGACGCACGCGGACGGTGGCACTTGGGCCTTCGATGGAGTTCCCTGTGGGGCCACGAAACGCTGCAATGGGTGAGTGAAAATGCCAAATTGGGCGTTTCAGGACGCACTCGGACGGTCCCGCTGTGACCTTCGGTGGAGCTCCCTATGGGGCCACGAAGCGCTGTACTGAGTGGGGGGGGCGCATGTGTACGGTGGCACCGGGGCCCTTCGGTGGAGCTCCCGTATGGGGCCACGAAACGCTGTACTGAGTGGGGGGGGCGCATGTGGACGGTGGCACCGGGGCCTTCGGTGGAGCTCCCCATGGGGCCACGAAGCGCTGTACTGAGTGGGGGGGACGCATGTGGACGGTGGCACTGGGGCCTTCGGTGGAGCTCCCTATGGGGCCACGAAGCGCTGTAGTGAGTGGGGGGACGCATGTGGACGGTAGCGCTGTGACCCTCGGTGGGGCTCCCTATGGGGCCACGAAGCGCTGTACTGAGTGGGGGGGACGCATGTGGACGGTGGTACTGCGGCCTTCGGTGGAGCTCCCCATGGGGCCACGAAGCGCTGTACTGAGTGGGGGGATGTGGACGGTGGGGGGCCTTCGGTGGAGCTCCCTATGGGGCCACGTGTACTGAGTGGGGGGGACCGGCACTGGGGCCTTCGGTGGAGCGGTGGTGGACGCATGTGGACGGTGGGGGGCCTTCGGTGGAGCTCCCTATGGGGCCACGAAACGCAGCTGGTGGGGGGGGCGCGGTGGCACTGGGGCCTTCGGTGGAGCTCCCTATGGGGCCACGAAGCGCTGTACTGAGTGGGGGGGACGCATGTGGACGGTGGCACTGGGGCCTTCGGTGGAGCTCCCTATGGGGCCACGAAGCGCTGTAGTGAGTGGGGGGAGCATGTGGACGGTGGCACTGGGGCCTTCGGTGGAGCTCCCTATGGGGCCACGAAACGCTGTACTGGGTGGGGGGAACGCATGTGGGGCCTTCGGTGGAGCTCCCTATGGGGCAACGAAGCGCTGTACTGAGCGGGGGGGCGCATGTGGACGGTGGCACTGGGGCCTTCGGTGGAGCTCCCTATTGGGCCACGAAGCGCTGTACTGAGTGGGGGGGGCGCATGTGGACGGTGGCACTGGGGCCTTCGGTGGAGCTCCCTATTGGGCCACGAAGCGCTGTGCTGAGTGGGGGGGGGGCGCACGTGGACGTTGGCACTGGGGCCTTCGGTGTGGCTCCCGATGGGGCTACGAAGCGTTGTTCTGGGTGGGTGAAACGAAGGGAAGAGGGGGAGGAGGGAGGAGGAGGGATGAGGGGGAGGAGGAGAGGAGAGGAGGAGGAGGAGGAACGCGGGGACCGTTTCTTCAAAACGAGGACCCAACAACACAGGTTGGTTGGGAACAAAACAGAGTCAACGTTTCTCTCGTCAACATTGACTTTCTTGCCGTCGACGCTGCGAAGAGTGCAGCAGGAATGGGACGCGGCGCACATCGCGCGCGGGCGCCTGGCCAACCCTACGCGGGACCCCCTGTCCGACTTGCCCAAAAACATAGCAACGTCGACTTTTTTGCCAGCATGTGTTTTCTCTTCGCTGGCGCTGCGAGTCGCGCAGCGGGCATGGGGCGCGGCGCACATCGCGCGGGGGCGTCTGCTCGTCAACATGGACTTTCTTGTCGTCGACGCTGCGGCCCGTCGGGTTGAGGAGCTGGGCGGGCGGCAAGTCATAATGCCTTGAGCGAGTGCGCTTCGAGCAAGTGCCTCAGGAGACCCCCAGGAGGTCAAAAAAAGGCGCCCAGGAGGCCTGGGGGGGGGGGGCAACGCAAATATTCATTTTCATTTGGTGTTTGAAGGATTGCGAGGTTAGCACCTACTTGCGTCGACAATGTTCCAATCCAGAAGATATATCCAAGAGGCCCTCGGGCGCGTGCCAGAGAGCTCCAGGGACCCCCCGCGAATTCCCAAGGGGCATTTTCCTCATCCTCCTCAGTTCCCCCCCCCTCTCTCCCCCCCCGTCCTCCTTCCCTTCCTCCATGCGCGGCATGGGCGAAACGATTGGCGGTGCAGCGCGCGCTGAACGTCTGGCCGCCCGCGATATAAGAGTAGCGGCAGGCGTCGGGCGCGACGCACTTGCTCCGTAAGTTGTGGGAGGGCGGGTGGGAGTGGACGGAGCTCTCTGGCTCGTTCGAGCTGGCTAACTAGATCATTGTTCCCCATTAATAAACACCTCCTCCCCCAGGCGACCGGTGGCCAACCCGGGGCCACGGCGACACCCCCCCCCCCCCGCGCGCAATCCTCTGGAAAAAATAAGCAATGCAGAACACATTCGGCCTCCAAATTCGGAACATGCGCAGCCAAACCGACGCGTCCCCCCCCCCCCACGCACACACACACACACACACACACACGCACACACGCACACGCACACACGCACACGCACACGCACACGCACACGCACACGCACACGCACACGCACACGCACACGCACACGCACACGCACACGCACACGCACACGCACACGCACACGCACACGCACACGCACACGCACACGCACACGCACACGCACACGCACACGCACACGCACACACACACGCACACGCACACACACACACACGCACACGCACACGCACACGCACACGCACACGCACACACGCACACGCACACGCACACACACACACACACACACGCACGCACCACGCACGCACGCACATCCTTTAAAAAAACAAGGACACTTGGCGGAGGCGGCGGCGGCGGCGGCTGCGGGGGCGGCTGCGGCGGCGGCGGAGGCGGCGTCGGCGGCGGCGGCGGCTGCGGCGGCCGCGGCGGCGGCGGCGGCGGCGGCGGCGGAGGCGGCGGCGGCGGCGGCGGCGGCGGATTGGCCCCCAGTAGCTACCCATCCAAAGACGACGGCTGAATAGGCTGAGGCTCGGGCCAGACCCGGGCGCTACGTATGCGTTGGGAGGGCGGGCGGGGGCGAGCGAGACGGCTTGCGGACGGGGGGGGAGGGGGGTCTTGACCCCTCCCCCACCCCCTCCTTTGGACTTTTTGGGCTTCGGTCGCGGGCGGTTGGAGGGCCCCTTCTCTTCGGCCCCTGGGAGAGCCAATTTGCGATGTTCGCCGCGAGGATCGCGGCCCCCGACGGGGGGGGTGGCGGGGGGAGGGCGATCGGGGCCCTCCTTCCTTTGATCGATAGCCTCGAAGATGGCCCCAAGAGGCGCCCCAGGCCCCCCGAGAGCGTCCCAAGGGAGCTCCAAGAGGGCCCCAAAAGGGCCCCAATGTGGCACCGAGAGGCCCCCGAGAGTCCCCCTAAGGGGCCACCTGGGCGGCTTCAGAGAGCCCAAGATGACCTCCAGGATGGCCCATATAGCCCAAGCTGGCTCAAGATGGCCCCCAAGATGCCCCAAACGGCCCCAGGGCCGCTCCAAGCGCGCCCAAGAGCGTTCCAAGAGAGCCCCAAGAAGCGGTTTGCCAGCCCCTGAAAGGGGGGCGGTGGGTTGCCCCCCCCCCCCCCCCCCCCCCCCTCCCCCTCCTTCCACCCATCCTGTAATCGATGGTTTCCAAGATGATCCCAAGAAGTTTCCCAGGGCTACCAAGAGGGTTCCAGGAGGGCCCCCAGCGCTCCCAGAGAACGCCAGCAGCAGAAGCAGCAGCAGCAGACGCAATCATACCCCTGAATGGTTCCACGGGTCGCCCTCGTCCGCGCCCTCCTCCCCCATCCCCTCCTTCCCCCCCCGATCCTCCTCCTCCCCCTCCTCTTCCCCTCGCCCCGCCATCCGTGGCCGTGTTGGCTCATGGCCCCAGGTTCCCCTGTGGGCCAAGTGAAGGCATCTGATCCGAGGACAGACCCCATGTTTTCTGCAACCACAGGGTTTCGCACCCCTTTCCAGTTGCCCAGAGTTTGTCCCGAGTTCAGACGTGTCAGGCAGAGGCTCCGACAAAGGCGCGGCTGCCGCTAGCAGCAGCGCCCCGATCGAGGCAGACGAGGGGGCCACGCAGGTTGTCCCAGTCTCGCACCCGGAGAGGATCGCCTTGGCCATGGAGACGAGTGCGGAGTCGCCCAGGAAGATGGAGGCGACGATGGCGGCGCTCGTGGAGAACCATGAGCTCGCCATGAGCGAGGTCGTGAAGGTCAGATCTTTGGAGGCGCGAGCTGCAAGCAAGCGTCGAGGCGGCATCGGCGCAACTTCCGCAGGGCGCGGGTCAGTCCGACGCTGCGTTGCAGGCGCAGTTCAACACGTCCGCAGATGTCATCAAGCGTGATATGGTTGCGATGAAAAGTGAGGTGCAGGCGGCTACGACGGCTGCACCAGCTGGGTCGGTAGGTAGCACGCTTCGTCCAGCAAAGATCACGAGGGCGGCAAGTGCGGCGCCGACTGGTCTCCGGCGCATGAAGATGCCCCTGACGATTGCAGGGGATGGGTGGGCGGTTTTCGAGGCCGCTCCCGGCGACGGCCCGCGCGGCGCAGTTCGAGAGGCTCAAAGAGCACGTCGCCCAGCACATGTCCGAGAACATGGCGGCCAAGTTCGCCAGACAGCCATCTTTATAGCGTTCACTTCGACGCGCCGGCGCATGGTCGAGAGTTGTGCGATTCTATGACGGAGAATCCGATGTCTTGAGAAGATGTGCGCAGCAACTCTTTGCATGCTGCGCGAGCGCGCGCTGCCCTCCCTTCCTGGCGATCTTCGGAGTAGGCGAAGGCAGCTTGGCAGGATGTGGGTTCGCATGGGGGAGATGATGGTGCAGAAGGGTGCCTGGGCCTAGCCTGCCAAGGTGGGGGCGATCGGTTTCAGGGGCGTTCTATTTCATCCATCCAGAATGGCGACATATGGATCCACTTCCGCGGCGCGCTCGCCCCGCTGACGCGGATGACCTGCGCGGCAACAGACGACCCGGGGAGCTTCGACTTCCGGCGAGCTGGCGTCGACGAGCTGCTGCTGGGGCCCCTCAACCAGTTGTACTTTCCGCCACCAGGGGATGCGTCTAATGCAGGCCCCGCAGGAAGGCGCGACCTGGCCGAGCAGCATGGCGACCAGGAGCTCCGACGGGTCGCTTGGTATTCCTTGTCGTCTTTGAGCTCTTGGGATTCTTTGGAAAGCGATCGTTCTTCGGAGGATGGGTCTGGTGGAGTGCGCGGTGGCGCGCGCATAGCTCTTCGCCCCTTCGCCCCCAAGAAGACGTTTGCGCATGGCGACCTGGAACGCGCGCGCGCTCCTCGGTTCTTTCCGCCCTGTTCGGGCCCAGGCTCGCACGAGGGCTGCGGCCATCTCTTTGCGCGAGCGCGCCTGCGAAGTTGCGCCGCAGGGGTCTCGCGGATGACGCGAGGGCCTCATCCTGCTGGTCGCCGATGCCCAGTCGTTCCGAGGTTGGCGCACGTTTCTCCCCGACCGAGTTGCCGGGGGCCCAGTAATCCAGATGTTCCGAAGTTTTGTTATTTCCGAGCTCTTTTTGCACGCGAAGCATGAGGTGGTCGCCGAGGGGCGATGCCATAACGTGCATCTCCGGGGGATATGGGCGCATGGCGATATGTAACATTCTCACACATCCGAGCCTTTCCTTTTTTATTGTTTTCAGAAATATGGGTGGGTTCGACGGATACCCTCTTGGGTAAAATCTGCCACCAAGCACGCTACCTGGATATTGGGAAATGCCACTTGTTCGGATCCTGGGGACCCCCGACTTTCTCTTCGAGCTGAGCCTGTGTCGCGTGCAACCGATGCGTCGGGCAGCTTCTTCGCTCGTACTTTTCCGTTACTGTGCGTGCTGGTGCAGCTCAGCCCGACCTTTCGAGTGAAGCAGGGGGAGCAGCTGCTGTCTGCGAGTCGTTTAGATCGCATTCGCACATCCCTGGACTCAGGCCGCCTGCTCGATTTGAAGCTGGAGGCAGGACTGGCGTGGCCTGTGACCGCTCTCACCAGGCCGAGTGACCACGCCCCGCTCTACGCATGGTTGCACCCAGATTGGAGATCGCTTTTCCCTAGGATTCCTCCGCGGGTCGTTGAGAAGCCACAGTTTTCGGTGTCCGCCCAGGGCTTGTGGCCCGATGCGCCGACGTTCCAGGGCGTTTTTTTGGTTTCGGCTCCGCGGGCTAGAAGAAACATTCCGCGAAGCAGCTCGTCGTGTTAAGGGAGGTTTTTCGCTCGACGGCCCCTCCGCTACGCAAGAGCTGACGTCGCGGCACGTTGCTGCCCTGCGCGCGATGGCCCAGGACAACGCGCGCATTGACATTGTTGAGAAAGCTGTCAGAGCCGTGCCTGAGCTGGGCGATTGCGTGGATGGCGCAGGTGGAAATGGGCGGATTACGGAGGTTTTACGGCGGCGATGAGGAGCATGTCGGAGAAGCTTTTGGAGGAGGAGGTCAAGGAGATGTTTTCGACGCCGCAGTTGCGTGGAAGCTCCAGGCAGCCCCGTTCCATGCGCCGTTGACGGCAGCGCGGCGCTGCAGGCCGAGCACTGGGGCAGGGCTCGTTCTAGACAACCTAGGGATAGAGATCGCGGGCTACCCATCCAGCGCTTTATTTAGAGTGCCTCGGAACGCGTGTTTTGGGAGGTTACGTTTGAGCTGTTCCACCAGGGACTGGGGGTTTCGTTGCTCCGCTCCTGGCCCAGACGGGGCCCCGTTCAGCAGTTGCTCCTCCGTGGGGGGCCCAGGTGCAGAGGTGCTCTATCAAGCTTGCCGGGCGCCCCTCGCGGGCGAGGCAGGCGACGACAATTTTAACGAGCGCTTGGTGATGTCCCCTCCCAAGGGGGGGTCCCAGGTTCCATCGACGCTGATTTCCAGCCAGCCAGAGACTCCGAAATTCTTGGGGAAAACGGGTAGCATGATACATTCAGGCGCTTCTAGCGCGCGCTGAACCACGGCGTGGGTTCGTGCTCCGTAGCTGTTTGATCTGCAATGTTTTAGAAGCCCCTTCGGAGCTGGCGGTCTGGCATTGCGTCTCGGGAGAGCGCGACGGTGGAAGTATTCTCCTGTAGATTCGGGATCCGCCCCTTCCCTCAACCACGGGTGGATCTGGTGGGTCCTGGAGACCCCTCAATGTATTATTCGGGCTCTGCGGTTTCTGCACTCGGGCAGTCGTGCTACGATTGCGCTGGGAGATGCCGTTTCCCTGGTTCCGACATCGCCTCGGGGATTGAACAGGGGTGTCCTGCGTCAGGTTCGATCTTTGCGCTCCCCCTAGATCCTGTAGTTTGCGCCCCTTTAATGTGCCGTTCCCCCGCCAGTCTCGTATCTGCGCGGCTTCGCGGGCGATGTAATGCATGGTTCGGGGACTTGTTTGCGACTGCCCCTGCGGTGCTGGCCGTCGTGGACCAGTGCGCGTTGGCCACGGGTTTCTACCTCAGCAGTAGTGCGATTATAATCGCGCTCATGGAAGATTATCCTGGGTCATGTATTATAGATCGGTTCGACTGGATGGGGGTGGACCTTGGACGTATATCGGCGCGTCTGTCGGTCGTGATGGGAATGGGGTGGGCTGAAGGGGTCCCATGACCAAGTCTGTAAGGTGGGCAAGGGATGTTCGCGGGCTCGGTCTCGGCCTCGTCGAAACAATCCTCGGCGACAAAATCCTCGCCATCCCTGTCGCGCAGTTCGTCGCCCAGTTGTTTGAGCCGCCGCGCGCCGCGTTCCGTCTGGGGGGCGAGCGTCTCCAGCTGCTCGTCAACGGCCCGCCGCGCGGAGTGCCAAGAGCAGTATTCTTTGATCTCGAGAGCTCGGGGATCAAGTTATACTCGCCGCAGGTGCGGCAGCTGCTCGCGGCGGCAGGGCGTCGTGCTGCGCGAAAAAAGTGAGACGCGCGCGAAGTTGATTCAGTGGTATAACGAGATAACCGACTCAGGCGAGTACGTTGGCGCTTACTCCTTCTCCTCCGTGTTCCAGCAGCCCCTGCTGTTCCAGCTCGACAGAGTTGTTCAGTTGTTGGACCAGGCCCCAAAGATGCCCGAGGGCCCCGAGAAACGTAACTTCCAGGCCGCCGTGTTGAAAGCCATCCAGGGCGCGTTCCCCCTTCAAGCTTCGCGTGGAGCTTTTATTCCGAGGCTCCCGTATGTCCTCGGATCTGATGTTGTGAGGCCTGAGATGAGAACCCAGTTGTTCACTAAACTAGGTAGATTCGTCCAGAGGTTGCCAGCTCTTGCGATGTCTAGTCTTGCCATGTCGATGTGAATGCATGGTGCACTGCGCGAAGGCAACACCAAGGCCCCGCGAGATGTTTTTTTTTGTTTCCCGGATGTATGAACGTCGGCGGGGACAATCTTATACATTGTGGTATCTGTCATATTTCCGATCCTGTCGTTGCCCGTCTCCTCCCTCTTTTGCCGACAGCATATGATGATTTGAGCGGGCCTGAAACATGTGTCCTTTGGTGTTTCCAGGTGATCTTGACGCTCAGGCAAATTGTGTAGTTGCTCTCGGTTTGTTTTTTCCATGCATAGAACAAGGTCAGGAATTCCCAGCGGAGGCTCAGCGTCTCCAGTCTGATTAAGGCGCGGGCCCAAGTGCCGGCCCAGAGGCATGCTGGGCTCAGACGGGTGCCGAAACGCGAAGCGTTCGGAATTTATTAGGATTTATGGGTTCGGGGTGCGAATATTATTCAAATTGCGAGGGTTTGTGGCCTTGGGGGCGCAAGCCTGCTGTATTTTGCAATGGTTTATGGCACTGGGGACGCGAATCTCGAATCGTCTTCAAAGGTTTATGGTTTCGGGGGCGCGAGTATTGTGTCATTTACGTAGGTGTATGGTTTCGGGGGCGCGAATATGGAGTAATGCATAAGGTTTTTTTGGTTTCGGGGGCGCGAATACTGCGCAATTTGCAAAAAGGGGTATCGCTTTCGGGGACGAATATACTTTAATTTGCAAGGGTTTACGGCCTCGGGGGGCGCGATTACGCCGCAAATTATTTGAGATTATGGCCACGGCGACGCGAATTTCATGGATTATTACGTGTCGCGCGCCCCCCCCCTCAGGAATTCAGACAACGCGACCTGGACGTGGTAAGGGTTGGTTTGGGGCTCTCCCCCGTCGCGCGTTCAGCAACAACTAACAGTAAGGAAGCAAAAATCAGGATTGTAACAATGGACGCTGGAAACTGCAACTGGAACACGGAGCTGCGCACCCTCGCAGCCTGGTGTCCCCGCAAGGGGGCCAGCGGATATGTACATGTATCTGTATGTATACATATGTATGTATGTATGTATGTATGTATGTATGTATGTATGTATATATATATATATATGTGTGTGTGTGTGTGTGTGATGGAAGTCTCTGGCAATAAGCCCATGCTGAAAACGTGCCGGATCCCCATCGGTGCAACCGCTGGAAACTCACAAACCAGATATGCGCGGCGCGAATGCGAGATCGTCGTTTTGAACACCATCCGCCGTCCATCAGTGTATTTGTTGGGAATATGAAACTTCGGGATAGTAGGTCGCAAGGAAGCGTCAAGCGAAACCCCCAGCCCAGCCTATGGACACGCCCAGTGGAGCAAGAAGTTGTTCAAAAAGAAGATGGATGGAGTCAGGGAATGTTTGGATGACATGAAGGATGGACGACATGGAGGCCGGACCAGCTAGAGGATGGAGGAAGGTAGACGGAGGGCTGCAGCGGGGATCGAGGAGGGCGGCCCCCGCCGCGGCCGATTTTGGGGATGTTGCGAAGGGCACTGAAGCTCCACCTCCAACAGCTGTCGCCGATGCTGCAGCAGGACCCTGCGGCCCTGGGCATCCTCACCAACTGCAGCTACGGCGAGCGGCTGCCGGGCCAGAAGTCGCAGCGCCGCCTCCCGTTCTTCCTGGCGCTGGCGGAGGCTGGCTGGCTGCAGGGGCTGCGGGAGCTGGCGGGCTGGGACAGCAACCGGTCGGACGCAGGCGGCGGGCAAATGAACATTGAGCCGCCCACTCCCCCTCATTCCCCCCCCATCCTCCTCCCCCTCCCCCTCCTCATCCTCCTCTCCTCGCCCTCTTCCTCCTCCCTCCCGTATTCCTCCCGCCTCCTCCCCTATTCCCCGTCCCCCTTCTCCCCAGCCCCCTCCTCATTTCTTCTCCTGGGGCTTGCCTGTCTGGAATCAGGTCAGTCTATATTCCATACAGTACGAACGCCAAATTTGAAATCGGCCCGTCAGCAGGGTCCCCACGGGACCAAAAATACCGCCTCTGCCGCCGACCCCACATCGGGGCCATGCGGTTCGGTTTTCGGTGTTCTGTCGCCACGGGGTGGTCGGTGCTTCGCAGGTTGTCGGTGTCACTTTGCCATTGGGATATAGTGAAGGAAATTAAGAAATGCAGACAGTTGGCGCGCGGTGCACCCCAGTGGTCAGACCACATGGGGCGGCATCTGGGAGTTCAGAATTGCGAGGATGTCTTAGGCGAAAGGGGTTGGACCACCTCAGGTCACGGCATATGATCCCAGAGTTGTGAGGATGGCTCAGGCGAAACGGTCTCGACCACCTCAGGCCACGGCATCTGGGAGCTCAGAATTGCGAGGACCTCTCTTGCGAAAGGGGTCGGACAATCTCTACGGGTGGCCCCAGACACCCATGGCCAAAGACACTCAGAAGGCTGGCGGTGTCAGGCGTGGTGTCAGGCATAGTGCCAAGTGTGGCGGGGAGGTCCCGGGACGATTTTTGAATGGTATGTGGCCCCAGAAACTCATGCCCAGGCGCATCAGGGGGGACGCGGTGTCAGGCGTGGTGTCAGGTGTGGTGCCAGGCGTGGTGGGGGGGGATCCCGGGACGATTTTTGCATGATGGGTGGCCCTTGAAATTCTTCACGCTTCGCGTATCCCCACCAGTCCATCTCAAAACAGCAACTCTTGCTAAGCATGCCGACAGTCGTGTTTTTCAAGCGTGTTTCCGCCTGCCCCCGCATATCTCCCCTGTTCCTCCTTCCTCCCGCCTCCTTGTACATCCTCCTTGTGGTGGGAGCGGGAGAAGGACGAGGCGGAGGAGGAGGGAGAGAAAGCGCTCCTCGTGGTTTGAGTCGTTTGGGGTTTCTCGTCCTGGTGTGAGTCGTTCGGGCCCTTCTTCCTGGTGTGAGTCGTTCGGGCTCTTCGTGGTGTGAGTCGTTCGGGCTCTTCGTCCTGGTGTGAGTCGTTCGGGCTTCTCGTGGTGTGAGTTGTTCGGGCCCCTCGTCCTGGTGTGAGTCGTTCGGGCCCCTCCTCCTGGTGTGACTCGTTCGGGCTCCTCGTGGCGTGAGTCGTTCGGGGCTCTCGTCGTGGTGTGAGTCGTTCGGGCTCCTCGTGGTGTGAGTCGTTCGGGCGCTAGTAGTACTAGTAGTAGTAGTAGTAGTAGTAGTAGTAGTAGTAGTAGTAGTAGTAGTAGTAGTAGTAGTAGTAGTAGTAGTAGTAGTAGTAGTAGTAGTAGTAGTAGTAGTAGTAGTAGTAGTAGTAGTAGTAGTAGTAGTAGTAGTAGTAGTAGTAGTAGTAGTAGTAGTAGTAGTAGTAGTAGTAGTAGTAGTAGTAGTAGTAGTAGTAGTAGTAGTAGTAGTAGTAGTAGTAGTAGTAGTAGTAGTAGTAGTAGTAGTAGTAGTAGTAGTAGTAGTAGTCGTAGATGTCTTTTGGGAGCCTCTTGGAGGCCTTTTGGGGCGTCTTGGGGCCTCTTGGCGGCCCAGGGGCTTCTAGGAGCGTCTTGGGTGCCTTGGGGGAGCCTCTTCGGGCCTCTTTTGAGCCTCCTGGAGGCCGTTTGGGGCGTCTTGGGGGCCTCTTGGCGGCCCCAGGGGCTTCCAGGAGCGTCTTGGGTGCCTCGGGGGAGCCTCTCGGGGCCTCTTGGGGGCCTCTTGGGGGCATCTTGGGGGCCTCTTGGAGGCCTCTTGGGGCCTCTTGGGGCTGTTTGGGAGGGGTCTGGGAGGAATCTTGGGGCCATCTTTCGGGCGATCGATCACAGCTGGGGCGAGCACTTTTCTGCCTCCCCCCGTCGGGGCCAGAATCCTCGTGAGGGGTGTCGAATTTTAGCCCTCCCAGGAGTCGAAAAAGACCCCTTTGACCACCCGCGAAACCCCCTCTCCAGGCCCAGGGGGAGGGGGTAGGGGGAGGGGTAAACCCCTCCCCGAAGGGGAAGAAGGGGGTTGAGAACAGAGCGGGCTCGCCAAACCACTCACGCCCAAAGGGCTGGTGGGATTCATGGCCAGAGACCGTCAGGAGGCTGGCGGTGTCAGGCGTTGTGTCAGGCGTGGTGCCAGGCGTGGTGGGGGGGTCTCGGGACGATTTGTGATTGGTGGGTGGCCCCAGAAACCCATGGCCAGAGACCGTCAGGAGGATGGCAGTGTCAGGCGTGGTGTCAGGCGTGGTGCCAGGCGTGGTTGCGGGGTCCCGGGACGATTTAGATTTGTGATTGGTGGGTGGCCCCCAGAAACCTACGGCCAGACAGTCCCTGAGGATGCTGGCGGTGTCAGGCGTTGTGTCAGGCGTGGTGCCAGGAGTGGTGGGGGGGTCCTGGGAGGATTTTTGCATTGTGGGTGGCCCCAGAAGCCCATGGCAAGAGCCCTTTAGGAGGCTGCCCGTTTCAGTCGTGGTGTCAGTCGTGGTGCGAGGCGTGGTGTGGGGGTGGTCCCTGGACGATTTTTGCATGGTATGTGGCCCCAGCAACCCACGGCTAGAGACCTTCAGGAGGCTGGCGGTGTCAGGCGTGTGTCGGGCGTGGTGCCAGGCATGGTGGGGGGGTCCATGGCGGGTGGCCCCCGACGCCCATGGCCAGAGACACTCAGGAGGCTGGCGGCGCCAGGCGTAGTGTTAGGCGTGGTGCCAGGCGTGGTGGTGGGGGGTCCCGGGACATTTTTGTTATTGTTTTTTCTATTCGGATTGCCCCAGAAGCCCGTGGCCAGAGGCCCTGAGGAGGCTGGCGGTGTCAGGCGTGGTGTCAGGCGTGGTGCGAGGGGGGGTCCCGGGACGATTTGCGAATGGTGGGTGGCCCCAGAAACCCATGCCCAGAGACCCTCAAGACGCTGCCGGTTCCAGTCGTGGTGTCAGCCGTGGTGCCAGGCGTGGTGGTTGGGGGGGGCCGGGGGGATTTTTGCATGATGGGCGGCCCCAGAAACCTATGGCCAGAGACCGTCAGGAGGCTGGCGGTGTCAGCCGTGGTGCCAGGCGTGGTGCGAGGCGTGATAGGGAGGGTCCCGGGACGATTTTTGCATGGTGGGTGGCCCCACCATTCCGAAGGGTTGCACAAAAAAACCCTTCCGAAGGGTTTTTTTTGTGCAACCATTCCGAAGGGTTTTTTTGTGCAACCCTTCGGCCAGAGACCTTCAGGAGGCTGGCGGTGTCGGGCGTGGTGCCAGGCGTGGCGGGGGGGTCCCGGGGCGATTTTTTGCATGGTGGGTGGCCCCAGAAGCCCACGGCCAGAGGCCGTCAGGAGGCTGGCGGTGTCAGGCGTAGTGTTAATTTGGCTTGGTGTGAGGCATGTCGGGGGAGCGTAAGACCCGGGTTTGCCAGGACTCGGGTTCGCCATCGTTTTTTGACGACCGCGCCTCGGATTTTGACGAGGAGGAGTTTCGTGGGATGTCTGCAGCGGGAGGCCTCGTCAAAATGCAGGCTCGGCCTCGTCATTTTTTTGACGACCTCGTCGGGGATTTCCGAGTCCCCCGTACACGGGTCTTACGTCTCCCCGATTGGTGTGAGGCATGGTGTGGGGGGACCCGGGACGATTTGTGGATAATTAGAAGATGGCCCCAGAAACCCGTGGCCAGAGTCCCTGAGGAGGCTGGCGGTGTCAGGTGTGGTGTCAGGCGTGGTGCGAGGCGTGGTGGGGGGGTCCCGGGACGATTTTTGCATGGTGGGTGGCCCCAGAAACCCATGGCCAGAGACCTTCAGGAGGCTGGCGGTGTCAGGCGTGGCCACGCTTGGGGCCGAGAAATCAGCACCAGACCCGACTCGGCCGATACCCCTTCGCCCTCCCCGAAAATTGCATGTGTGGGTGAAGGTTTCAGTGGCGTGGCGCCCCCGTCTTGCACAGTCCGCTCAGGCCCCAGGCTCGCCGTGGACAGCGCCAGCGATTCCTGCGAAGGGAATGAGACTGGACTTCGTCCCCTCGGCCTGGCAGTGGAGGCGGGGCACGAACAGGTGGTGCGCTATCTGGTGAGCCCTGGGCCTAACGCTCTGCGGATCGCTGGGGCACGCGGTAAACATAGGAGCTCAACCTGGCATTAGGGGAGGGGGGCCGATCCTCGAAGCCCTCTGGGTTTGACAGACAAAGCCGTGGATTTGAAGCTCCGGAGCGGTTCCGTGAATATCCCGAGGCTCTGACTCTCGCGGGCGTGATGGATCTCAGGGTCCATGATCAGCCGATCAGCGAGCCCGTGACAGCGCTGGCCCTCGGCCAGGCCACACTGGAATTGCAGATCGCGTGCCCAGCCTGCTGACACAGTCGATGGAGACCGCGTCGGATCAGCTCCGCGATCGGCGAGGAGGGCGCCGAGGCCAGGGTGCCTCGGCGGTCGCCCGCAGCCCCGGGGGGCCCACGCTGCTGGAGGCTGCCGTGCGGCGCTGCGACGGAAACCTGGCGGGCGCCCTGCTGGGGGACGGCTCGGTGCTCAAGGGCGGGCTCGCTCAGCTGCGGAAGCGACTCGCGCTGGAGGCCTGCAGCTCGGGAGATGAAAAGGTACCGACACCGCTGCTGATCCTGGAGAGCCATCGTCGCCCCCGCGGGATTCTCCTCGAAGTCCTGTTCAGAGCGAACCCCGCGAGAGGTCCAGGGATCCGCGCCGTCGGTACCTGTTTGTCCCTTCAGCACTGGCGGAGTTTGGGCGCTCGCCGTCGTTGAAGAGCAGACTTTCTGGACGCCTCTGGGGAGGCATGGGGGCTCGTGGTTCTCAGCCCTTCGCGGGGCCGTCGGGTCCGGGGGGCCCTGCGTCGGAGCTCGAGAGACGGGGGTCAATGCAAACGGGGGTCAGTCAGAGCGCCGGACCTCGCAGGATCCTGCAGGGCCAGGGCTGCATTGACCCGGGCTTGGGTGCAGGATCCTGCAGGATCCTGCAGGATCCTGCAGGGCCCGACTGACCAGGGTTTGGATTGACCCAGGTCAGTAGAGCCCCGATTGCCAACGGCAAAGGCACGTCGTCGCGAAACGCTTGCATCTGGCGCGGGCGGTCTGGGGAACGCGATCCAAGCGTATGGTATGCAGAAAACTGGGCCCGTTCAGGGCGTTCGTAACTGCTTGTCCTTCAACGGTGCCTCGCTGGCGACGCGGTCAGATTGGCTCTCCCGCGCAGGTCTCCCGGGGGCCTGGCCTAGTTGCCGCCACTCGCTCCCGGCCTGGGGGGTGAGAGGAAGCAGCGCGACTGGGAGGTCGATCTGGCTGTGCTGACAGGAGGCTGGCACGCAGCGCAGCCACCTCAGGCCGCGAAGTTGCCGCACTTGAACGGTCGGTGGCCTATAGGCCAGCAGAAGGGCGACGGACTGGACGGCATTCGGGCTCTGGTACCGCAGGAATTGCACCCAGTGGGTGCAGAGCAGGAGGTGATCGGCCAGAAGCCTTCTCTGTGGATCCTCTTCTACAAGACGCGCGTCATGTGTTCTTTAGCGAGCATGCGCCCTTGCGACAGTGCTGCGGCCAATAGGGTTGCACGAGTGCTTGCCGAGCACGGTTTCGACTCCTTCGCTCGTGATTTCTTTGTCTCCGCGGTGATCTTGGCGTCGATCCTGGGCGGGTTCGGCCTCTTTGCCTACGTGGGATTCCGGATCAAGCTGTATGGTCCACTCGATGCCCCAGTGTCCATGGCTGAATTCATCCCAGGTGCCTTCAACCCGTCACGAATGTTGGACTCTGATTTTGATCCGTCGCGGCAGAAAGGCAAGTTGCCATACCGCGCAGTAAAGGAGTATTTGGCGCCACAGGGCTCGTCATGTACATTTGGCATGGCTGCCTTCGGAAAGGCTCTCACGGGCATCTTCTCCTCATGGCTTCTGCAGTTTGTCAGGATTCCACCAGAGAAGGACCCGTATGATGAAGACTACCAGAGCGATGACGATGAGGACACCCGTACGGCAGTCCGAGACCAGTGCAGAGCGCGTGCTGCTTGTGTTCAGAAGCTGGAGGTCTTCGGCCCTTCGGTTGATACAATTGTTCTTCACACTCTCCCTCGGCGTCTCCAAGTCTCGACCTGGGGGCATTGTGCAGGAAGGGCTAGGACGGTGGAGACTATGCGAACAGCTGGGAAGCAGAGCTTTTCCCATGCCTCTGAACCCCAGTGCCCCAAGAACAGCATAAAACGTCTGACTCCCCCTTCCCCCAGACGGTATCGATGTGTGGTCCATTCTAGCGGTGAAACTCGCCCTCTTCTGGCACCTCTGCATTGCATTCGAGTTTCTATGTCTGCAAGGTCGCGATGCGCACCACGCTGCTCGTACAAGTTCTGTTCTGGCTGAGCTGGGGCGCTGGTCGCTGGCAGCGAGCGGATGCCAAACATGAGGGTTCACCAGCCCGGAACATATCCCTATCCCTATGATTGGCATCGCCTCATCTCGATGCCGATTTTAGGGATTCCCTTCGTTTCTGAGGGCGCATCCATAAGATTGTCGTCGACTTTTGGCTGGTTAATCTTAGGGATAGGGATACGTTCGAGGCTGGTTAAGGGTAGGAAGAAATGCAGGAGGACGGATTCTCTCTCTTTCGCCCTTTCCCCTTATCCCTCTCTCACAGCCTCTCAGCCTCTCATCTCACCCCCTCTCCCCTTCATGGGCGGGTGGAGTGAGGCGACGACCCAGTCATCAGGCTTACTGTCTTGAGGCTCGCGCCGAGATCCATCTGCTGGGACGGGTCCCCGCCCTTCAGAGGGCGGCCGCGATTGCAGATGGAACCAGGAGCTCCGGGGGGTGCATGCCGCCCCAAACTCGTGACTGGCTGTCGCCGGCCACGGCGCCGACGACAGTGGCCACGACGACGATGCCGACGCCGACGCCGACGACGCTGATGCCAGGGCAGTCGTCCGGGATTGCGTTTCCCATAACTTTAAATCATGGGAAACGCATTCCTGGACGATTGCCCCAAGCACACATTGCACGGGAAACACGATTTTCCCATAATTCGACTTCCGAATTATGGGAAACGCAATTTCCTTTGAAAAAACCCGCACTCGATGGGCCAGAACTGCGTTTCCCATAATTCTTTACGCTTCGCGTATCCCCACCAGCCCATCTCAAAACAGCAACTCTTGCGAAGCATGCCGACAGTCGTGTTTTTCAGGCGTGTTTCCGCCTGCCCCCGCATATCTCCCCTGGTCCTCCTTCCTCCCGCCTCCTTGTACATCCTCCTTGTGGTGGGAGCGGGAGAAGGACGAGGCGGAGGAGGAGGGAGAGAAAGCGCTCCTCGTGGTTTGAGTCGTTTGGGGTTTCTTGTCCTGGTGTGAGTCGTTCGGGCCCTTCTTCCTGGTGTGAATCGTTCGGGCTCTTCGTGATGTGAGTCGTTCGGGCTCTTCGTCCTGGTGTGAGTCGTTCGGGCTTCTCGTGGTGTGAGTTGTTCGGGCCCCTCGTCGTCGTGTGAGTCGTTCGGGCCCCTCCTCCTGGTGTGACTCGTTCGGGCTCCTCGTGGTGTGAGTCGTTCGGGGCCCTCGTCGTGGTGTGAGTCGTTTTGGGAGCCTCTTGGAGGCCTTTTGGGGCGTCTTCGGGGCCTCTTGGCGGCCCCAGGGGCTTCTAGGAGGAGTCTTGGGTGCCTTGGGGGAGCCTCTTCGGGCCTCTTGGGAGCCTCTTGGATGTCGTTTGGGGCGTCTTGGGGGCCTCTTGGCGGCTCCAGGGGCTTCCAGGAGCGTCGTGGGTGCCTCGGGGGAGCCTCTTGGGGCCTCTTGGGGGCCTCTTGGGGGCATCTTGGGGGCCTCTTGGAGGCCTCGTGGGGCCTCGTGGGGCTCTCTGGGAGGGGTCTGGGAGGAATCTTGGGGCCATCTGTCGGGCGATCGATCACAGATGGGGCGAGCACTTTTCTGCCTCACCCCGTCGGGGCCAGAATCCTCGTGAGGGGTGTCGAATTTTAGCCCTCCCAGGAGTCGAAAAAGACCCCTCCAACCACCCGCGGGGCGCCCTCTCCAGGCCCAGGGGGAGGGGGTAGGGGGAGGGGTATACCCCTCCCCGAAGGGGAAGAAGAAGGGCTGAGAACAGAGCGGGTTCTCTAAACCACTCACGCCCCAAGGGCTGGTGGGATTCCGAACTATGCGAAACGCAATTGTGGCTCATGGAGAGCGGTTTTTCTATGAAAATTGCATTCCTAGAATTCGGAATTCGAGCTCTGGGAATTCCGAATTATGGGAACCGCAATTTTCACATAAAAACAGCACTCAATGAGCCACACTTTCGTTTCCCACGATTCTGAATTATGGGAAACGCAATTGTGGCTCATTGAGCTCGGTTTTGTAAGGAAAACGCGCTTCCCATAATTCAGAATTCGACCCCTCGGGATTCCGAATTATGGGAAACGCAATCTTCTTCAAACACGGCACTCAATGGGCCACAATTGCGTTTCCCATAATTCCGAATTATGGGGGACGCAATTTTCTTCAAAAGCCGCACTCGATGAGCCACACTTGCGTTTCCAATAATACAACATCATGGGGAACGGAATTGTGGCTCACTGGGTGCGGCTTCTTGAGGAAAATTGTGTTTCACAGAATTCAGAATTCCGAAAATCCGAATTCTGAGTTATGGGAAACGCACTCTTCCAGCAAACAACGCACTCAATGAGCCACACTTGCGTTTCCCAGTTTTTTTGTTATTTTTCTTTTTTGTTTTAAATGGGAAACGCACTTGTGGCTCATTGAGTGCGTGTTCTTTAAGGAAAATTCGGTTCCCCATAATTCAGAATTCGAGCTCGCGGACTTCCGAATTATGGAAAACGCAATTTTCTTCAACAAAAACGGCATTCAATGAATGGGCGGCAGTTGCGTTTCCCACAATTCCGAATTATGGGAAACGCAATTGTTGCTCATCGAGTGCGGTTTTTGTTGAACATTGCGTTTCCCGTAACTCGGCATTCGAATTCTCAGAATTCTGAATTGTGGGGAGCACAATTCCCCCTTCTTATACATACATACATAGATAGATATACACATGTATATATATATATATGTATATATGACCAAGGAGCCACACTTGTGCTTCCCATAACTCCGAATTATGGGAAACGCACGTAACCATTGCGTCTCTGGGAAAAGCAATTGTGGCTCTTTGGGAGTGGCTTGTTTGAGGAAAATTGCGTTTCCCATAATTCAGAATTCGAATTCTCGGAATTCCGAAGTATAGGAAACGCAATGCTCTTCAAAACAACCGCACTCAATGGACCAGAATTGCGTTTCCGATAACTCCGAATTATGGGAAACGCAATTGTGGCTCATTGGGTGCGGTTTGTTGAGGCAAATTGCGCTTCACAGAATACAGGATTCGAATTCTCGGAATGCTGAATTATGGGATACGCAATTTTCCTCAACACACAGCACTCAACGAGGCACACTGGTGCTTCCCATAATTTCAATGTATGGGAAACGCAAGTGTGGCTCATTGGGTGCCGCTTGTTGAAGAGATTGCGTTTCCCATACTTCAGAATTCGAATACCCGGAATTCCGGATTATGGAAAGCACATTTCTTGTCAAAAGACCGCAGTCAATGGGCCACACTTGCATTGTCCATAATTCCGAATTGTGGGAAACGCAATTGTGGTTCATTGGGTACGGGTTGTTGAAGAAAATTGCGTTCCCCACGCTTCAGAATTCGAATTCTCAGAATTCCGATTTATGGGAAACGCGAGTTTCTTCAAACAACAACATCCAATGCTCAGCGAGCGTTTTTTTCGGAAGCGCTTCCCGTAATTCAGAATTCGAATTCTCGGAATTCAGAATTATGGGAGACCCTTTTTGGTAAAAAAAGAAAAGAAATCAATTATATTCAATGGGCAACAATTGCGTCTCCCATAATTTCGAATTGATGGGAACGCAATTGTGGCTCATTGGGTGCGTGTTTTTGAGGAGGTGAGGGGGGGAGTTGCGATTCCCATAATTCAGAATTCGAATTCGCGGAATTCCGAATCATGAAAAACGCAATTGTCTCCAAACAACAGCATTCAATGGGCCACAATTGTGTGTCCCCATATTTTTTCAGTATGGGGAACTCAATTGTGGCTCATTGTGTGCGTTTTATATACGTATATACGTATACATGTATATATGTACGCCCATGTATATATGTATATACATATATATATATGTATGTATACATATATAGATGTATACGTGTGTGTTTGTGTTTGTGTATGAATACACACATATATTCATATATATTCATATATATATATATATAGATATGTGTGTGTAGGAAAACTGCGTTTCCCATGATTCAGCATTCGAATATTCGGAATTCCTATCAATGTGAAACGCAATATTCTTCAAACAGCCGCACTCAATGGGCCAGAATTGCGTTTCCCACAA